GATAAATGATACTGGTGCAACTGATCACATTTTGCCTGATTTCAAGGGTTTGTAATTTCCTGTTTTATGTTCTTCCCATCGCTATGTTCATCTGCATAATGGTCAAACTGAACTTGTGTCTCATATAGGGTCTTATAGGTTGACCTCTGATCTTATTCTATCTAATGTCTTGTTTGTTCCCAGTCTTTCTCATAATTTAATTTTTGTTTCTCGGCTTGTCAAAGATCATGCATGTATCATTTCCTTTCATCTCGACATTTGTATCTTGCAGGATCCTTACAATAGCATGATCAAGGGGATTGGTACAAGGTTTAATGGCCTTTATTTTTTTAGTCTACTAAAGGAGCTAGTGGTTCGTTTACTAATTCTTTGATTGGTTCTAGGGATACTTCTTGTGTTCATTCTATACCTGTTGTTTCTGTTTTTAATAAACTAGTCTTTGCATGCCATATTTGGGCATGCTTCTACTATGAAAAAAATGTCATCTTATGTTTCTGATAAATTTGATATAAACTCTATTAATACTTACAATGTATTTCCTTTAGCAAAACATACCAGATTGTCATTTCCTCTCAGTACTACTAGATCATCAAAACCTTTTAAACTAATTCATATAGATTTATGGGGTCCTTATACGATATCTACTCATAGTGGTCATAGGTATTTCTTAACTGTCGTTGATGATTGCACAATAATGACTTGGGTTTATCTCTTAAGGGTTAAAAATGATGTTGTTCTGTTTCTCAAATAGTTTCTTTCATTTACCTCCACTCAATTTTCTTCTGTCACTAAAATTGTTAGAAGTGACAATGGTACAGAATTTTTCAATTCTCATTGCTCTCCATTTTTCTCTTCTTTTGGTATTTTGCATCAAAGTTCTTGTGTTCAGACTCCACATCAAAATGGAGTTGCAGAAAGAAAACATAGACATCTTTTAGAAGTAGCTAGGGCTTTACGCTTTCATTCAAAAGTGCCTATTAAATTTGGGGTGAATGTGTGTTGACAGCTTGTTTCCTTATAAACAAACTTCCTTCTTCTGTTTTGCAATGGAAAACACCTTATGAAATTCATTACCACAAACCCCCTGACATGTCTATTCTGAAAGTTTTTGGTTGTTTGTGTTATGCTACTGATCCTAAACCAACTGATAGTTTGCCCCTAGAGCCTTACCTTCTGTTTTCATGGGATACTCTAACAATCAAAAAGGTTATCTCTTGTTTGATCTTACCTCTAAGAAATTTTTTTGTCAATAGGGATGCTATTTTTCATGAACAGGTGTTTCCTTTTCACTTTCCTATTCAGGCATATTTTTTTGTTTCCTTCTACTCCCTATGTTCCTAATTCTGAATTTTTAGATATTTCTTTTGGGCAACAACCTATCCCTATTGTTCCACCTGATTCTCCTTCCACTTCTGGATCTATGCAATCATCATAACAACTAGAAACTCCTATAGATCCAGTAGCTCCAGTCTTGGTCAGGAAATCTACTAGGGTTCATAAAATACCTCAATGGTTGACTGATTTTATTTGTAATTATGTTTCCACTTCCACTTATCCCATTTCAGATTTTATTTCCTATAAGCATCTTCCTTTTGGTACACAATCTTTTATTTCTTTTATTTCACACTTTGTTGAACTTAAATCCTATCATGAGGCTATTCAACATCTAGAATGAGTACAAGCTATGAAGGATGCAATTATTTCCCTTGAAACAAATAAAACTTGGTCAATTGTCTCTTTGCCTTCTGGAAAAATTCCTATTGGTTGCAAATGGGTTTATAGGATTGAATACAATGCTGCTGGTAATATAGAAAGATTTAAAGCCCGGTTGGTGGCCAAAGGTTATAGTCAGAAAGAGGGTGTAGATTATGTGGATACTTTCTCACCAGTGGTTAAATTGGTCATTGTTCGTTTTCTCCTTGCCATTGCTTCTGTTTTTGATTGGCCTCTGTTTCAGCTTGATGTGTATAATGCCTTTTTACAAGGTGATTTGTCTGAGGAAGTATATATGGAACTTCCTCCTGGTTTTTGCAGTCAGGGGGAGAATATGGTATATAGACTGCAAAAATCTCTTTATGGCTTGAAACAAGCATCTAGGAAGTGGAATTTGAAGTTAACTGAGGCTCTTTTAGGGGTTGGTTATGAACAAAGTAAATTGATTATTCTTTGTTCACAATAAGGAAGGATAAGAAGATTGTAGTTTTGTTGATTTATGTTGATGACTTGTTGATCACTGGCAATGATAATTGTTTGATTGATGATTTAAAGAATCTTTTGAACAAAAAGTTTAAGATGAATGATCTTGGTGAACTGAAGTATTTCTTTGGTCTTGAGATTATGAGATCAAAAGAAGGGATTTTAGTTAATTAGCACAAGTATGCACTTGAGTTAATTGAGGAAACAAGAGTAAGTGGCTCAAAACCAGTAAAAACACCCCTTGAATAAAATGTTAGGCTTACTACAACAGAGTATGATAACCTATGCACAAAAGGGAGTAATGAAGTTGATGAGTTATTGGCTGACAAGAGTGTTTATCAGAGGCTCATTGGAAGACTCATTTACATCACACATACCAGACCAGATATAACCTTTGATGTGCATTACTTGAGTCAATTTATGCAACAACCTAAGGAATCTCATTTTCATTCTGCTTTGAGGATAGTGAGGTACATAAAAAGGAATCTTGGTCAAGGGATACTGATGGATTCAAGCAGCAGCAGTGAACTTAAAGCAAATTGTGGCTCAGACTGGGCTGTGTGTCCTATCTCAAGAATGTATGTTTTTGTTTTTGCATTAAATTTGGAAATTCACTGGTTTCATGGAAATCTAAGAAGCAAAATATCATAGCCAGATCATCTGCTGAAGCAGAATACAGAAGCATGGTTGTTACATCAGTAGAATTGACTTGGTTAAATGGTTTAGCCAATGAGCTTGGGTTAGAAAGAAAGTATCTGATCAAGCTGTATTGTGATAACAAGGTTGCTCTTCAGATTACAACAAATCCAGTTTATCATGAGCGAACAAAGCATATAGAAATTGACTGTCCATTTTGTAAGGGAGAAAATACAAGAAGGGCTTATCAAGACGGAGTTTGTGTCTTCTTCAGAACAACTAGCATATATATTTACTAAAGTTCTAGGTGTAAAACATGAATATCTTGTATCCAAGTTGGGGGTAAAAGATATCTTCTACCCATAAACTTGAGGGGGAGTGTTAGAAGTTAAGTTTGTTATTTTTTGTTTTAATTGTAACTAATTGACAGTTAGTTAGTTAGTTAGTTAGTTAGTTAGTTAGTTAGATTGAAATTGTATATATATTTGTATTATTTCTATTCTAATATACATGAGGTATTATTCAGTTCAAGCATTTCCAATTTTAACAAAACACCTAACCAATGTTCAAACAAAATAAAGGTACAAAAAAAATTGACTCCATCGACAAACGAACCACAAAAGGGGATAAAACTACTGAAGGCCACCGACAAATCGCAAATCAGAGTCAAGTGACGTGAGAAAACTATCCACGAACGTAAAATGCGTATCCAAATCAATTTGAGGGTCCAAAACAGAGAAGATCATCATGATAACAAATACGCACCATCTTGATCAGTTGTAGCGATGTAAAATCCAAAATTGAGAAAAAAGATAAACGAAAACAACGGCAAAAAATCGTAAGCTACCAAAAGGCATAGATAAATATGTCATAAAGGCATAGAACATGTCACAAAGACATAATAATTATTATTAAAAAACTAAAAAAATAAAGAAAAAAATAATCGGCAGGCGACAACCAACATCAAAACTAGTTCCGCCGTCGGTTAAACAAAATTAAAGAAGAAGAAGTTTGATTAATCAATAAAATTGACACAAATTGTAAAGAAAAAAATGGAAGAGAGAGGAGGAGGAATAAAGCATATTATTTTGAGCTAAATTGTGGAAATTATGTTTGTTTCAATTTAGGAGGTGAAATATGAATACAATGGTGAAAAGCAGCTAAAAAGCATGTTTTTAGCCTTCTATGTGAGAATCAAATATTTTGAAAGAATGTGGACTTGAGCAGAAGATTATCTTCGATAAGGCGTGACCACGCTTATGAAGAACACTCGATTGATTTAAAACCAATAACTCCAACCTATTACTATTTGTTTTATTAATTCAAATCATCCGTTTGACCAAACCAATAACTCCAACCTATTACTTATGTTTTATTATTTAAAACCCTTCCGTTTCCTTTTAAAATCCCACCCCACGTGCTTTAAAATTTTAAAACCCCACACATTTTTTGTCGTTTATCTCCTACCTTTCTTTCTTCTTTTTATTTTCTAAACCCTTATTTCCATTGAGTTGCACCCTTAAACCGACGATCATCTCTCATTTTCTAAACTCCTTTTGAATATTTTGGCTATAGTTATTGAGAAACATCTCGTCAAAATAAAATAAATCACCTTCAAAATAAAATAAATAAAATTGAGAATAGTATAATAAAAGAGAGTTGATCCACGAGGACTTAATAATTTCTGATGCAATTCAATGTCGATTTCAGTCCCGAAATTGTAACAAAAATAAAAAACTGGAGATTGGTATACTCATGTTGGAAAAACTACAAAAGATGGGATCACTTTATTGGGTTGAACAGAAATGTTCAACAAGTTCAAGATGCTATAAGAAACTTTAGCAAGTCCTTAACAAGTGATGTGAAAGGTTAGCTTGAACTTTACGAAGCTGCGCATTTACTTGTTCATGGGGAACACATACTCGAAGAAGCCCTTGAATTCAGCACTACTCATCTAGAGTTATGCAAGCTCTCCAGGCAACATTTTACTCCTTTTAACACTAATCAATATTTAAGTTTAACCCAATTTAAAGTTACAAATGATTATGTGTTTTGTTTCAGGTGGTGGAAAGATTTAGATTTTACCACAAAATTATCGTTTGCACCAGATAGATTGTTGGAATTATACATTTGGATGTTAGGAATGTACTTTGAGAGTAAGTACTCTTTTCCTAGAGAGATATTAACAAAAGTAGTAAGTATGATATCAATTATGGAGGACATATACGATTCATACGGCACACTGGAAGAACTTTAACTTTTAACAGATGCAATTCAGAGGTCAGAAACTTATATATTCATATAATTGAATTTTGACTCTAAACTTTAGTTCAATTAATTTATTTAGTTATGTTTATGAGACGTTATTCAATATATTGAATTTTGAATTTTAATATTTCTAACATTTTCTTTTAAAATTTTAATTTTTTTAGGTGGGACGTTAATTGTATAGATCAACTTCCAGATTACATGAAATTGTTCTACAAGCCACTATTAGATGTTTATAGAGAAGTGGAGGAGGCGATAGCAAAACAAGGACAATCATATCGTGTCCAATATTCTATAAACAAAGTAAATTTACATTTTATCTCATTTTATCTCATATATTATTTAAGAAAAATTCAAAATATGATTTCTAAATACTCGTGATATCAGTTGATTACTTGAAGGTGACATGATAGCAAAAATTAAATGGAATTAAACTTTTAGATTAATGTATGTAACAATTTTTAAGTTCACGTGTCAAATAGATCATGAAAATCCAAGTACCCTATAGATCTTAGGAAAAAATTTTGGTACTAAAATCTTATTTTGTTGATTTTCATTTTACAGTTTAAGTAAGCAACTGAGTGAAGGCTATTTTGCGGAGTTCAAAAGGTACGATGAAAACTATGTACCAACGATGGAAGAGTATATGAGAGTCGGAATTATGCTGCCACTACTGCAATAAATGTCATATCTCTTGTTGGAATGGGAAATGTGCTGACACCTGAGATTTTCAATTGGGCATCTAACGACCCTAAAATCATTGTTGCTTGTTTCATTCATGCTAGTCTCTTCGACGATATTATTACACACAAGGTACTTTTTTAAAATAAAAAAATTATTGTAAGAGTATTTTCTATTGATTTGTATATATATGTGTAGTTTGAACAGGAGAGAGGGCACTGTGCGTCGGCCATCGAATGCCACATGAGAGAATATGAAGTTTCAGAAGAAGAAGCATGCAGTGAATTGAGGAAGCAAGTGGACGATGCATAGAAAGATATAAACCATGAGATGATATTTAGTGAGACATTTAAGATTGTTCCGATGTCGGTTCTTACACGAGTTCTCAATCTTACAAGTGCCGTTGAGTTCATGTATAAGACTGGAGATGGATACTGTTAAAACCAAATCTGTTAGTGTAGTTAGCTTATTGGTTTAGTTAGTTAAGTAGCTAAGCTGTTATACGAGTTGTATATATACATACTTTGTAATCTTATTCAATGATATGAATGAATATTTTTCACATGGGTTTTACTTATTAATAGATACACACATGTTGAAAAAAACTACAAAAGATGGGATCACTTTGTTGCTGCTTTATATGTTATATAATGTTTAGTGTTGCAATCTCAATAACTTGTATTTAGTGTTGCAATTCGGAGCAAGGCTATCTATGGATCCTTAAATGAAAAGCTTTGGTGGGATAATACTATAAGTGTGTTGTGTAGACACCCGTTTTGATCGGGATTAAAAATATATATATATTTATTATTATTATTATTAATGCTAATAATTTAATAATTTACATATTTTGTAGGCCAGTCCAATTACATAACCATTCAGAATCATTTTCGCCGAACTGCCAAGCCAACATAGAGCCACCACCAAATGCCTCTAGAAGCTGTCATCATCTGGCCATCTCAGCAATGTGAGTGGATCAAAGGTCAACAAAAGATTGAAAGTTTACCTAAACCTTTGAAATAAAGAAAAAATCCCGAAAATTACGGGATTAGGGATACCTGCTTCAGCACTAATCAAAGGAAAAGGTGGATTCGAAACAATTATAAATAGGGGAACTTTCAACGGGAAAAAGGGGGAAGCAATCAAGAAAAAAAAAAAGAAGAATTTTCTAGATAAGAGAAATTTGTAAAAAATTTCATTCTCTTCGACAGAATCAATACCAAGCAAATAGAAGGTTTTTTTTTTTCATCTTTGTCTTTCATTTTCCAGTAACTAATTTGCTTATTTATTTACTATTTTGAAATCATAAGAGAAGAGAGGAAAGTAGTTTACCCTTTATAGGAGATCTAGCGCCAGGCAGGGAGGTCGTGGCCGGTTTTCCTTTGACCGGTATGGGTTGTGAACCGGAGCACCGGACTTTAGGCCCGATGGCCGGAGCGTTGTCGGCTTAGGGTCCTATAGGTTGTCCCCGTTTCAGTTGAGAGGAGGGGGAGTGGAGATGAAATTATTTTTTAGGCTTTGGTTTTAGTTTTCTCAGGCAGAAACGAAACAAATGGGGGAGGTATTAAACTGTTATAATTTTTGGGGAAATAATGCTAAGGTCCTTATACCTTTAGCGTGATTTCATGTTTGCTCACTAGTTTATGAGTAAATTCATGTTCAGGTCTTTGTTTTTAGTATAAGTAATACATATATAAAATGATTGGGTGATTTTAGAGAGAGAAGACAAAATAAAAAAAAGGTTATGTATCTTTGTGAATCTGTTGTGTTTAAGTGATGTCCACGTGCTCTTCACAATTAATGGGTAAACACACATGTAGTCCCCTTCTAGTTTGAATGAGAATCACTTTAGTCCTATAATATTAAGGAAAATTATATTTGTACTCTCTAGATTTGACATACTATTTTACTTTTAATTTATTTTAATCCGTAATTAAACTGATTTTGTTCGCATGTTTCTACTGTTTGTCTATTCTGGTCGTCATAATATACATATTTTATTTTATATTACGTTATATTCAGTACATAATTTAATGTTTCCTATATATATATATAAATATATATGCACTGAACAATTTATCCATCTTGCTTTTATATTAAATTCTAATTTGTAAATATTAGGTATATATTTATATTAAATATGTTTTAATTATTATATCGTATATTATTTTTATATATTATATGTCACAACATATGTATAAATTATATATATTTTCTAAATATGTGTATAATCTTCGTATGTATATATTATTCTACAAGATAGCTTTTAATGTATTTATCAACGTATTTTTATGATTATAGGACATCATTTTTATAATTAGTATGATACCCTCATGTGCATAACTCGATTCATAATTACATAATTGAATTAAGGGTAATACCCTTTTAATTTAAAATTGTTTTAAGTGGGTTGTCTTAACTTATTCGAGGTTCGTTTTTAACGATTTAAAATAAAAGTGTATCTCATCAGTGACACCTAATAAATTGACTTGTCACTTTAAAATTTGGTAATTGAAGAAAAAAATGATCAAATATTTAAATTTATCGAGAAAAGGTTGTTATAACTATTTAAGATCTGGTCTCGATATTTTTAAACAATAGAATATTCTTTATCTTTATAAGACTGGGTAATTTTAACTTAATCTATTTGTGTACTTTGAACATGGTGAAATTCATGTGTTGTTATTTATTGGGGATCATAAACCAAATTAAATTTAAATTTATAATTTCATTGCAAAGATATAATTAATCGACGAGGTACCGATTTAGGGCACTGTGGAGGTGTTAATCATTCCCCACACGTATTCGACTCCCAAATCCGTTTTAATCAAATCTTTGGTAAATGCATACCAACTTTTGTCTTAAAAACTGATTTCTCTTAAAATTGTTTTTAAAAATCATTTTTAGGTGTTCGGCCTACCTAAACTAAAGGTTGATGGCGACTCTTTTCAATTCTATCCAATTTAATTCCAAATCACCGGATTTTTCCAAAAATAAAAGTCTTAACTGATTTAAAAAACAACAAACGATCGTCCCCGCCGAAACACGGTTACGACAGCTTGGCGACTCCGCTGGGGACTTTTTTTTAGAGAGTCAGGCCGATAATCGATTAGTCAATTGTCTTTGCATATGAAAGTTATAAATTCATTCTAATTTGGTTTTTGATCCCTGGTTTGTTTTAAATTGTTGTTTGCATTTTAATTTGTAATTTGATTAATGAATAAATAGTTGTACTAACGTGTGATTTACATGTTTCAGTTTTCTGACCTTCACTTTAATCTGTTGATTTTCATGGATCGAGGCAAAGGATTATGAGTTTCCCCACTGTCGCTATAACTCTTCGATATTTAGAGCCTTCTAACTGTGCTCTGTCCCGTTAGGTAGAGGTGAACGCTACGCTTACGTGAGAAAAATTGCTTTTCTCCGCATGGGCTTTAGCAAATAACCTCTAGGGTACATATGCCTTATGTTTACGAGTGAAACATTGCGTTTTCTCGCATGGACATAAAGAAATGTATCCTCTCGAATTGAACTTGACCCGTTTAAGCCTATAATGGGTGAGGGTCGAGGGTCTGGCAAGCCTAAGGGGGCACCAGCAAAGGACAATTTGAGGACCCTGTTAGTATTACCAAAACTTTGCCCGTCTTATGATGAAACTCTGTCCGCAGACACAAAGGGGAAACTCATTCTAACCTTTTCCTCGAATTTATTTTTGCAATATGTATAAGAATTAGAAAAAACATGCGGTTAGGTTTTATTTTTCGTACAAAGACTGTGATCTAGAAAAATGTGGCTAGGATTTTTTTTTGAATGACAAAGCATGTGGGTAAATATCATGTTGGGTAGATTCCATATGGATAAGGGTTAGGATGTATATATTTTCAAGCTTTATTATTATATTGTTTTTCTTGATTATTTATTATATACTAACATTTTTATTTGTGTTCGTGTTTCTGTGTTTTATTACTGTTGCATTACATTATCATTCATAAAGAAAGGTGTTGGTTCACGAAGTGGTCATCAAAGTAGAAGGTGGTCATAAAATGGACAAGAGCTTTCATAACAAGGAAATAAAAAACGCGGAAGTGAGGTCGTGGTCAGAGGAAACTCAGATGAAGAAAGGCGATAGTCTGACTGAAGGCTATATCGGTACTACCAGAAGTTCTCTGGTCAGTCTAAAGCAAAACGATCTGCAAGAATTACGTGAAATTTGGGAGGGTTGGAATTATGATGTGAAGTATGCTTTTGGCAAAAATATGGTGACATAGCCCTGTTGTTGTACGTGAAAGTAAACGAACCCCTGATTAAAGCTTTGATCCAGTTTGGAATCCATATAGTTGTTTCACCTTCAACAAGGAAGACATGACTCCCACGTTGGAAGAGTACACTTCCCTATTTCATTTCGAAACGATACATTTGGATAGGATTTACTCAAAGGCCACAAGAGTGCAATCCTTCAAAAGCAAACTTGCAAAAATTACCGGAATGGGGGAGAAGTGGGTTGCTGATCGAATCCAAAAGAAAGGAGAGTCTGATTGTTTCCCTTGGCCGTGCCTGAAAGAACTTATTGTCAAACATGACGATATTGAGAAGAGAATGGAGATGTTTGCTTTGGGAATTTACAGTTTAGTGATTTTCCCGAAAGTTCTTTGTCATGTAGAATCCGATGTAGTCGATTTATTCGAGCGTTTGGAAAGGAAGGTGAATCCTGTTCCTGCGGTTTTGGCAGAGACATTCAGGGCGCTTAATAGTTGCAGAAGAGCAGAGAGTAGTCGCTTCACTGGGTGTATCCAGTTGCTTACTGTTTGGATACGTAGCCACTTCTGGAAGATGGATCGAGAGTACAGTCGCCGGTTTTCAATTGCCTATTCACCATTAAAAGATTTCCTCACCAAGGAATGGCCGGAGCATCTCACCAGGAAAGATTGGATTTCACTCTTCAGAAATCTACAAGATCATGATATAGTGTGGCGTGTTCCCTG